TAAGCAATATTGACAGCAATTTGACAACAATACACTTAAGCAACAATACACTTAAAGAAGTGTGTGGTAAGAAAAAGAAGACTAAGAAAAATCCATGGTTCTCAGAAGAGTGCCAAACTTTGGTAAACAGAAGAAGAGAAATCAAGATCAAATGGATTGCAAGCAGGAGAGCTGACAATGAAGAAGAGAAAAGGAAATCAGAGCAGCTTAGAGTAGAATACTGTGAAATTAACAGAAATACAAAACAAATGCTTAGAGCATGTAAAAGAAACTTTCTGAAGCAAAAACTGACCAAAGCAGAAAACGACAGAGCCACGAACAACACCAGGGATTTTTATAGAACAATTAGATTTTTCAAAAGTGGTTTCTCTGCAAGAACCTATGGCGTTGAAAATAAAAGTGGAAATGTAGTAGTAGATAAAGAATCAGGCATTAAAGTATGGAAAGACTATTTTGAAGAACTTCTAAACTGTGATGGACCGACAATTAGAGACATAGAAGAAAATCTAAGCTACCACAATGTTGAACCAAATGTTTTACCACCCTCAGAACAGGAAGTAGAAGAAGCAATTATGTTACTCAAATGCAATAAAGCCCCTGGAGAGGACGGAATCACAACGAAAGTAATTAGAAGTGGTGGAAAAGTCCTAATCAAAGAAATTGATAGCCTTTTAACAAATGTATGGAATTATGAAATAATACCAGAGGAGTGGGCAGAAGCGATAATAATCCCATTACATAAGAAAGGTGACAAACAGTCTTGCTCAAACTACAGAGGTATCTCACTTCTAAACACAGTATATAAAATATTCTCAAAAATTCTATTAACGAGACTAAATCCGTACACAGAATCAATAATTGAGGATCAACAAGCCGGCTTTATGAAAGGTAGATCGACAGTAGACCAAATATTTTTGCTTAAACAGGGAATCTCAAAATATTATGAATATAATAAGAGTTTTTATGGGATATTTATTGACTTCAAGAAAGCTTACGACAGCATTGATCGGAGGACCTTATGTAGGAAAATGGAAAAACATGGCATACCTAAAAAGTTAATAAATTTGACAAGATTATGTGTTGACGAATCAAGAGCGAAAGTAAAGGTAGATGGAGAAATGTCGGAGAGCTTTAGTATAAATACAGGAGTGAGACAAGGGGACGGGATTTCTCCCACTCTTTTCAACATAGCGATTGAAGAAGCTCTACAAAAAGTAAAAAATCTAAAGAGGGGCCTACAATTGGGTGTAGACTTAAATGTCATGGCCTTTGTAGATGATGTGGTGATATTGGCTGAAAAGTCGGAGGATTTGTGTTTTCTAGCCGACAAGTTTATTCAAGAATGTAAAAAAGTGGGTTTGGAACTAAATGAGGAAAAAACCAAAATAATAAAGTTTGGACGACATCCCATCAATAGAGGCACCAATTTCAATATAGCCAACTATTTAATTGAACCAGTAGAAAGCTTTAAATACTTAGGAGTTACTGTAAATAGCTTTAACATAGAAGATACAGAAATATTAAGTAAATTAGCAAATGCCAATAAATGTTTAGGTGCATGTATGAAGCTCCTGTCATCAAAACTCCTATCATCTGATACAAAAATAAGAATATATAAAACCATTATTCAACCAGTGTTATTGTATGGAAGCGAGACCTGGGTCCTATCCAAGAGAAATGAAGGACGCTTGATTGTTTTTGAAAACAAGGTCCTAAGAAAAATATTCGGCCCAGTAAACGAAGAAGGAGAATGGCGGATTAGAAAAAGCAGAGAGCTACGAGCGTTATACCAGGACCCTGATATAATAGCTTTGATAAAGGCAAAAAGATTAGGTTGGCTAGGTCATGTATTGCGAAGGGAAGAAGGAACAAGACTGAAGGAAGTATGTTCTGCTGTACCAACTGGAAAGCGTCCACTGGGTAGACCAAAAATGAGATGGTATGACCAAGTTAAGAGAGATGTGAGTCAGTGTGGAGGGACAGTGGAGATGGCAGCGGACAGAGAAGCGTGGAAGAGGCTGATCTACGAGGCGAAGAACCCAGCAGTAAGTAAGTAAGTAAGCAATATTTTGAAATCAGCTGGTATTATGAGATTTGGCAACACCGCACGGTTCTCATTGGTTCATTCAAAACCATAAGGTAAATAGGCTCCTCCCTCAACTGCAAACTTACGTGGTCCCAACAATAGGCAAAAACTAAAATATAAACAACAAACAATAATCATAACATGTGTTAGCAAATTAAATGAAGAATATTAAACCAGCTGTCACCTTCCCTTCTCTTTTTAAAAATTTATTTCCCCTGTTCACGTGTTTGGAATCTATTGTTGGTACAATTCCCCATCAATGTTGACCATGTAATCTCTAGTGTTGGAATTTGCTCCAACCACTATTCCATATCGCTTCAGGTTTGACACCCACACTTTTTCCCCTGTGACCAAAACTCGTAGCTCTCTTACACGGTGTCTTTCGTCGTAGTTTCGCTTCTGTTTTTCTTTTTCTGGGGTGTCCCATGCCTTAATATTTTTCAAGTCTGGCCACTTCGGCTCCGATGTTTTGTCTGAAGTAGGAACAGTGCTTCTGATTTTCCTACCAAAAAGAAGCTCAGCAGGACTGTGTGGGTGTCTAACCTGAAGCGATATGGAATTGTGGTTGGAACAAATTCCAACACTAGAGATTACATGGTCAACATCGATGGGGAATTGTACCAACAATAGAATATACAAGAAATAGAGTCTTTTTAGTTCCCACCAACAATAGATTCCAAACACGTGAACAGGGAAAATAAAGCTGTCACTACACTAACCATCCCCACTGATCTGATAGAACCAATTGTAATGGTCTATAATCCGTGGTAGTACTTTCTCTGTATTATTTGATCAGTGATCATCATCGAAATGTATCATTTGTACTGGGTTTTGGTCGTGTATTGGCTTGATTTTAAACGTAGTCTATGATTATTTGTTTTGATTACATTTACGTCGTTATTTTGTAACCAACATGGCAACCCATAAGGCCAATGCTAAAATTTAAAAACCTTGAGTTACTTTAATTAAATTATATAGGCACTAGCAGAATACCCGTCCTTCGTACGGGGTTCGCGTATATGTATAAAATGCTTATTTCAGTTATAATCGTGCTTTGTGTTTGCAATCGGAGATGACAGGGTCGTAGAAAATTTAGTTCTTTTAATTTACGGGATGCCATAGTATACCATACCTACCATAGCCATAATGTTCTACCACTACATCTATAAACAATAAAAAAGTAAATTTTTGAATATTTGCACAATATCCAAAAACTATTTATAAATTAAAAACATAAACTTAACTGTAAACAATCCTACTTTCAGTTTTCATTATGTATCGCAGCTTTTTGTTGCTGCTTGGTTCAAATTAGCAGTTATCATAAATGCAAAAATAATTTAGAGCTGTACCTTGTTGGTAAACCTTACAACTATTTAATGATATTGAATTTCATAGAACCAACTTGTTTAATTGAAACAGCTGACAAAATGCTATGATTTCTTTTAAATATGAATACTCATAAGGTTCAAATGGGATACTCCAGAGCCACTGGGGCGGAGCCCGGGAGGATTTTCGAGATAAGAATATGTCTATATGTTAATCGGGAATGTGGGCTATCATCATACCAAATTTCAGCCCAATCCGACCAGTAGTTAATGCGTGATTGAACTTCAAACAAACAAACAAACTAACAAATAAACAAACAAACACACAAACTTTCACATTTATAATATTATTTTTCAAGTCTGGCCCTGGCCACTTCGGCTCCAATGTTTTGTCTGAAGTAGGAACAGTGCTTCTGATTTTCCTACCCAAAAGAAGCTCAGCAGGACTGTGTGGGTGTCTAACCTGAAGCGATATGGAATTGTGGTTGGAACAAATTCGAACGCTAGAGATTACATGGTCAACATCGATGGGAAATTGTATACAAGAAATAGAGTCTTTTTAGTTCCCACCAACAATAGATTCCAAACACGTGAACAGGGAAAATAAAACTGTCACTACACTACCCATCCCCACTGATAGAACCAATTGTAATTATGGTCTATAATCCGTGGTAGTACTTTCTCTGTATTATTTGATCAGTGATCATCATCGGAATGTATCATTTGTACTGGGTTTTGGTCGTATATTGGCTTGATTTTAAACGTAGTCTATGATTATTTGTTTTGATTGCATTTACGTCGTTATTTTGTAACCATCATGGCAACCCATAAGGCCAATGCTAAAATTTAAAAACCTTGAGTTACTTTAATTAAATTATATAGGCACTAGCAGAATACCCGTCCTTTGTACGGGGTTCGCGTATATGTATAAAATGCTTATTTCAGTTATAATTGTGCTTTGTGTTTGCAATCGGAGATGACACGGTTGTAGAAAATTTAGTTCTTTTAATTTACGGGATGCCATACCTACCATAGCCATAATGTTCTACCACTGCATCTATAAACAATAAAAAAATAAATTTTTGAATATTTGCACAATATCCAAAAACTATTTATAAATTAAAAACATAAACTTAACTGTAAACAATCCTACTTTCAGTTTTCATTATGTATCACAGCTTTTTGTAGCTGCTTGGTTCAAATTAGCAGTTATCATAAATGCAAAAATAATTTAGAGCTGTACTTCAGCCCAATCCGACCAGTAGTTAATGCGTGATTGAACTTCAAACAAACAAACAAATAAACAAACAAACACACAAACTTTCACATTTATAATATTAGTATGATTAACAACAATTGAAATTTATTGTCTTAAACCTTCCAAACATTAGTCGAAACATCCTTGGTAAATTTGAAAAAATATGGTCAGCCGTTATTGAGTGATATAGTGATAGAAAGTTTGCGTTGCAGCCGATCAGAAAGAGCAGCTTTGCTTCGCTCCGCTCAATAAATATAATAATTGGTTTTCAACTTTTTTGAACAGTTTTTTTTAGGCTTTTTTCTGCTGAAGGTTTCTGTATGTGTTGCAGGTTTCTTCTGTCTGGAAGATCTAGAGGCCCGAGGTAACCTGGGTCTTTTGGACCAATACCTTGCTCTCATCTGGGTACACGAGAACATTGCTGCGTTTGGAGGAGACCCTCGTAGCGTCACACTCATGGGTCACTCAGCCGGAGCAACTAGTGTCGTCTATCACATGATCTCTCCACGAACAGCAAGTGAGACTTTTGTCTTTTTTTCAAAAGAATGTAATATGTTTTAAAGTTATAGGGTTTAAGTAACAACGAGAAATTTCTGTTTACGTATAATGGTACAGGGAGAATAAAAGTATACATATTTCATTACACTGAACTTCAAATAAATAAATCACGGAATGTAAACATGAAAAATGGCTTTTAAGGTAGGAAAGGATCGAACCCCAGCTTATTTTACCAATTCTTTTCAGTTAACAGCTTTCTGTTCCTGCACAGAGACAAAAAACAGCTGCAAACTGTGGCGTTAGATCACTATTAATTTTGAATTAATCAGCTCCATATTTTTCCAGACCTGTTCCACAGAGCAATAGTGATGTCAGGTAGTGTTATGTCACCTTGGTCACATGCTCATCGCCCTGCCAACGCCTCACGGGCCGTGGCTCGCAGTCTGGGGTGCCTCTCTGTCAACCAAACCCATCAGATATTGAGCTGTCTCCGCAACAAGTCTGCCACTGAGATATTGCGTGCGTTCGAGACACAATATATGGTAATAGAATCACAGTATGATTTTGTTCTGACTACCGGGATGTGTTGTTATAATCCATGAAGTGTCATAACGTTCTCCAGTGTTAACATTCTGTTCCTCATTTACTGGGCCATATTTGGAAGGTGTTTCCGCATATTTTTACTAAGGTCTTTTTTATAAAGAAGATAACTTAAAGGAACTACATCTGCTATGACATATGTTATGAAACAAAAATTCACATGAGAGTGCCTGTAGTGCAGCTCTATTGTTTAGTTGTATTGCTGAAATGCTTGCTTTCAAATCTGAGGGTTGCCAGTTTCCTGTGAATAATTAATTCTGAGCTTATCCCACTTATTGGGTCATCAATTAATTAAGGGTGATTTCTAATTAGATTGTGACAATTACGGTGTTTGAATCAGTCCTTTACAATAAAATTTACAAAACACCTCTGGTAGAATTGAAATAAAATAAAAATTGAAAAAATTGAATTGACTTTTTTGTTTCAGGAGGGAAACTGGACAAACACCATTTTACCTGTGAGTGATGACTTCTTGCCAGACATAGAGCAATATCTGCCAAAGACACCACTGGAAGCCTTGACTGAAGGGTCCTTCCTCAAGATACCAGTGCTGACAGGGGTAACCAGCCACGAGGGAGTGGTGGCCATTTGTAAGTTTATTAAAAGTTTTAATTTTTATTAGTGAATTTCCTATATAGGGAATAAGCTATTACCGTAGTACTCATGGTAAGACCTGGACCCGGGACCGATTTTTTTTTTCGTTTTGAGGTCCCTAGAGGCCAAAAACACCATCTGTTCAAATTCATATATATATATATATTTATATATGTGTCCGTTAGCGCGATAACTCGAGCAAAAATGATCCGATTTTGATGAAATTTGGTACAAACGTGTAAACCTAAGTTTATTCGAACGAGTTCGCGAACCAGCATGATCAAACCATGGGAACGGGGGTTTATGGGGGCTTTTATGGGGTAAAAATGGGTTTTTCCCATTTTTGACCCAAAAAACATAAAATTTTGCAATTTCTTTTCAAACTATTTTTTAGAGCTTAAAAAAACAAATAATTTAGTATATTGAAACGTTATAATGCGCCTAATGGTTACGGAGAAAATTCCAAAAAATTGTAAATTTAAAATCCCATGTTATTCTTATGGAGAATAAGTAAACTGTTGTAGTTTGCTTGTTTATTAACATTTTTTGCCCAAATTTGGAAAATGTTTTTATTTCTTACTAACTATTACAATTTACATAAAAAACACTTTTACCCTCCCTGTTGCAGCAAACCTAAGTATGTGTTAAACTGATTCTATTTAAATAGGGAAAAAATGTGATATTTTTAAGGAGACATTTTAGTGTAAATCCAATCAGGCAAATGGAAATTCGCTTAGTCTGCAGGTTTGCTGCGGCGGGGGTATTTAATATATTTGTTACTATATATTACTTAAATCAAATTTTACAAACGTTGGTTGTTTTGTTACACAAATCTGAAGACTGAACTTGACTCCCAATAATCTGGCACTTGATAGACCTACACTCTTGATAATCAGACGCTACGATAATGAGCGAGTTAACAACCAATATATGTACAACACTGGAGTTAACTTTGTGATGTGACAGGAATATTGCATCTTTCCATTTGCTGTGTTCAGTCTGATTCTGTGATTTTTCAGTAATAGTGATTATTCCACACAAACAAAATAAAAAGGGAAATACATACACAATAATTTTGGAATCAAAATCCACATAACACTAGGATTGCTTTCATAGCAGTGAAACTCAGTTGAGCGGAGCAATCATCTTATATAGTTTTGAATAAAGCGATAGATGAAAATACCCCCGCCGCAGCAAACCTGCAGACTAAGCGAATTTCAACTTGTCTGATTACATATTTACTAAAATACTTCCATAAATAAGACATATTTATTCCCAATTTAAATAACATTAGATATAACGAACGCTTAGGTTTGCTGCTACGGGGAAGGTAAACAGTGTTTTTTGACCAAACAACAATAGTATAGGATGAAATAAAGAAGTTTGCCAAATTTGATCAACATATATCCATAAACAAGTAAACTACACAGTTTTCATTTTCTCCATAAGAATAACATGGGAATTTTAAATTTGCATTTTTTTAAATTTTCTCCGTGACCGTTAGGCATACAACAATGCTTCAATATACTAAATTATTTCTTTTTTTAAGCTCTACAAAATGGTTGGTAAAGAAATTCTAAAATTTTATATTTTTAGGGTCAAAAATGGGACAAACCCAATTTACCCCATAAAACCCCCCATAAAACCCTGTTCTCATGGTCCGATTATGCTGGATCGCGAACTCGTTCGAATAAATGTTGGTTTACATGTTTGTACCAAATTTCATCAAAATCGGATCATTTTTGCTCGAGTTATCGCGCTGACGGACACACATATATATATATATATATAAATATATATATATATATGAATTTGAACGGATGGTGTTTTTGGCCTCTAGGGACCTCAAAACGAAAAAAAAATTGGTCCCGCGTCCAGGTCTTACCATGAGTACTACGGTAATAGCTTATTCCCTATATGGGAAATTCGCTAAAATGATTATAGGTATAATACAAAATACAAATGATCCCATACTCTGCACTGCTATCCTTTATCTTTCACCACTTCCTACATCGTGGACCTGTTTCCCTCCCTTCCCCTAGCATTTTAGGATTTCTGTGTTCATTAATCTAACTGCCACAAAGGGTTCCCACACTCAGCAACATTGGCCTTTACTACTTCCTTAACCCCTTCCTATGCCGTAAATATGTTTCCCTCCCTTCTTAGAACATTTTAAGATTGCAGATACATTAATCTCTGCCACAGACGGTTCCCACACACCGCACTGCTGGCCTTCACTACTTCCTTCATCGCTTCCTAAGTCGTGGACCTGTTTCCCTCCAATCCCATAGTATTTTAGTATTTTAGACACGTTAATTTAACTGCACCAAAGTATTCCCACAGTCCGCACTGTTAGCCTTTACCACTTCCTTCACCACGTCCTATGTCGTGGACCTGTCCTCCTTCCTTCCCATAGTATTTGAGTATTTTTAATAAGTTAATCTTACTGCCACAAAGCGTTACCACACTCCCAACTGCTAGCCTTTACTAGTTCCTTCACCACTTCCTACTTCGTGGACCTGTTTCCCTCCCTTCCCATCACATTTTAGGATTTTACATACATTAATCTAACTGTCCCAAAGCGTTTCCACACTCTGTACTGCTTGCCTTTACTACCTCCTTCACCACTTCCTACCATGTGGACCTGTTTCCCTCCCTTCCCATCACATTTTAGGATTGCAGAAACATTAATCTAACTGCCACAGACGGTTCCCACACTCCGGACTGTTTGCCTTTACTACTTTCTTCACTATTTCCTACGTCTTGGACCTGTTACCCTCCCTTCCCATAATATTTTAGTATTGCAGATACATTAATGTAAATGCCACAAACAGTTCCCACACTCCTTACTTCTCGCTATCAGGCCTACTACTTCCTACGTCGTGGACCTGTTTAAGTTTGCCATTTATGAGATGGATCCATGAATGTGATTCAACCTAAGAATTGTTTAAGATAAAATGTTATTTGTTATAACTTTATTTAGCTACGTAAATCAAATCTGTTAAATACTGAACCTATGAAAGATTATGTTTTCTCTATGACTGTACCTATTCGATCAGTTGTCGTTTCCAAATTGGGACTTAAATTTAAACCTAAGACTTTCTCTGTATTATATGATCAGTTGTCATTACCCGAATTTTTTTTCCTTTGTAATGTGTGTAGGTTGTGGCTTGATTTGAACATATGCTATGAGTCTTTGTTTTGTTTACATTTACTTTGTTATTTTGTAACCATCATAGCAACCCATAAGACCAATGTTAAAATTTAAAAACTTTGAGTTACCTTAAACTATATAGGCATTATAAAAAATTGAAATTGGTTATGTCTAAACCACCTAATCATTTGACAAAGCAACCTTGGTAAGTTTGGCTAAAATATGTTCAGCCGTTATTGAGATTAAGTGTAATAAAGATTGCATTGAAGATGATCCAAAAGATCTTCGCTTCGCTCCGCTCAATAAACTTTGAGCCCTCCTAAATGTATAGAAATGTTTATAAATTATAGCTTGTTGTGTGCATTGCTCAGATAAAAATAGCATTTTTGTATAAATCCATCAGTTAACTACCTAACAATAGTCAATGTTAATACTTAAAGAACTGAAGTTAAACAGATACACATCTACTTTCTTCATTTGTATGACTCAATTCTTTCTACAATCTTTGTTAATTAAGTTTCACCACATAAGTTAATTGACTAATTGTGCTTTATAAAATTGAAAACCCCAATTTGTTGTGTATTTCGGTGCTTACATGTAATGTTTACAAAAGTAACAATAAGAACTGTAAACTATTTAATTCTAACTGATGTACCCGTGATTTGCAACGGAGAGGACACTGAAGAGAATAAATAAAAAATAAGTAACATACACATTGTAATGTTATTTTCTTTTTTGGAGCTAAATCCCTAGTGAGACTGATCACCTCACTTATGACAATATAATTGAAGTGGCGCGCGCCTTCAATGTTTGGATGACCATAAACAGAACTGACCGACAATTGCCTACTCTGCCCTTAATGCACCAAATAAAGTCCACAAATGTATTGGGCTCAGCCTCAGCGTGGTGGACAGCATCATCGATCGGTCAATTGCCGAACAGTTGATTGAGACCATGTCTGTACTGGTGGAAATGACGCACGAGCACATGGGAACACTCGTTTAACGACGAAGATGGTTAGTTGAGGAGAAGCCGAGCCAACATCGTCAAGGAACCTCAGAACACCGACGTCGGTGGATTTTCTTGTATTAGCATTTTGGAATATTCTGAGGGTTTTTTATACCGACCCATTACTACCGGACTTGTCATTCATTACTACTACGAGATGCTGCTGTTTGTACATTGCTGGACGCCATCTTGGTGTCAGCCGCTCACGTACCGACCTGCCGCTTCCGTACCGACCTGTCGCTCACGGTCTACCGCTCGCTCAACTATTGGACACTACGTTTGCCCCAGACATCTGGTCCGGCGGGATATCTTTTGTCTATGGACACTTTGTATGATGTCTACGTTTGGTGAGTGACTTTAGGATTATTTTATCTCCTGTGCAACGGACTCTGGGACTGCGGCTAGTGAATCGAATTAGCAATCGAGAGGGATGTCTAGGACCTACGGATTTATTTGAATTGTTGAATCTTGTAATATTTTGTGCTTTGTATGTTGTCTGTTATAGGTGTTCCGGTGGCCACCGTCATTATGTACCATTTTGTAGAATTAAGATTGATCCTGTTTAATTGATTATTATTGATTATTAATGTTACTTATTATTGATTGCTCTTGGACAACGCACCTTAAGACTATTCATAATTTTCAACATACTTTACTATCCTTTCCAGCCCACTGGGGAGGGGATCTGGAGACTCAAGGTTATTCTCAGCTTCTTCAGCTGTTCTCCAACTCAGTTCTGCCAATGGTGATGTCTCGATACGGTTTCCACAGCCAGCAGAGTCGAGCAGAGATCTTGTCTATACTGAGGTGGCAGTACATTGACCCTGTGAGACCAGGTGACACAGCTGGACTTATCGCAATGCTTACTGATGTACGTTTTAGAAACACAATAACACAATTTGGTTATTCTATTTTGTCTAGATTGATAAATTGACTTCAAACTAGTTAGCTTTACATGCGTCACCAGGGGTTGTAGACGTAGAATCTTGGATATACATACTTTGCTGCTGCAAAAGACAGGTAGCGTTACCAATAACTCACATAAATGTCGTAGTTTCAAAAACTAAGAAGAAAAATATAAATTATTACAATTTCTGAAGTGTTTCTGAATTTTTCCTTCACGATGAGCTCAGCATGTCTTTTCCAATGGTAAATCTATTATCTTTTTATGGTTTTTTGGATTTAGAGTTATGAGGTAGCTAATAAAAGTTAAATTTACAAACTATATGGTAGTGTCAATGATGCATTTTGTCACACAACACCGTAGAACACTCCACAGTCTTAGGTCAAGCTGATTGAGGATATTAATTTTTCTTAATGATCCAGTTCTATACAGACGCTCAGTTCAAGGCACCGCACCTCCAACAACTACGACTGCTGGCAAAGACCGATATTCCTGTGTACGCCTACCAGTTCGAGCAAGGGGGTATCGACCTATACGGCAAAAACTTCAACATTTCCGGTATGAATTCAGTTTAACTTGAACTTTATATGGTCCTAAAAGCCTACAGTGGTCGGCAAAAAAGCATAAAGGAGAAATTTAAAAAATATAGATTTTGTTTTAAAGTGAATAATAGGGTACTTTAAACTATTATAAGGGCCTCAAAACTAATACAATGATATGTGCTTAACATTTTTACATAGGTAAAAAAAGAGTTGGTGACTAGGTCGTCCAGTTGTCGAAAACTCAACCAAAAATATGTGTTGGAAAATTTAATTCATGTTGTTTTTCAAATATTATGGTAATTATGAAAGTTTGTTGTTGTTGTGATTTATGGTGAAAATAAAAATAAAAAAATGTTTTCCATAAATACATTGAACACCTACTGTGTTTTTCACATTTTTTATTTGGAGGCAACTTCACTGCCTTTTTTGGTATTTTCAAGGAATGTATAATAATAATTAGTAGAAAATTATATCATCTTTCAGAATATCGCCTTCCACTTTCTTGCTCGATTTCCCCACCATTTAATAGTATATTACGTTACTAGTCCTGAAAATAAGTGTTTACCGGACGAGTGTGGTCGTTCCCGTGCGAGATGAAGTCGAGTACGGGATTACCATACGAGTCCGGTACACACATTTTGGACGAGTGACGTATGATAGTTTACGCCATACTACTAAATCTGTTCAAATCATTATACATTACCACCAACTAAAGGACTAAAATTCAATAGTCATAACCTCTAAGAGAGGTTATGTTTTTGTTTATAACCACTAATTGCCACCCAAATACAGTATAATCAGCTGATTGGTGTCTGGTAAAACTCATTACAGTACAGTACAGTAGTACGCAATGAAACCCCATTTGATTAAGCTGGCGGCAAACAGCTGTTTTCTGGACTAAATCCTTGTGTGGGAAGTTCGTCAAAATAATGTAGTGTGGCGTAAAAGTTATTTGCAAAATAGCTAAGCAACATCCAAATTTATAGTTGTTGGAAAATACTGAACTTAGAGATATTTTTGTTAAACTTTGTAGAATTGGTTTGCTGGTAGCATCATCTAATCATATCTGTTGATAATTTAAACTGCTGATTGTTGTATTGTCATTACATTGAATCCTAGACCATATAGCAACTCATCCTAAAACCATCAAAAAATAACATTATTATATTGAATAATTGATTCTTATTTTAAACAAAATCTTTAGGATGGTCTAGTAGACATTGGGGTAATCAGATGTTATATTCTGTAGAATACCATTGAAATCAGTTTTCATCAGACTATACAAATGCCTTAGAATGATGATTTAAACTTAAGTAAAGTTTTTATATTAACCATCGTATAGGTACCTACAATGTAAAATTTAAGTTTTACCAAACAGATTCTAAAAGACTACCTAATATATTCTTCAATACTGTATATTATTTTTCTATTAATTTGCCGGATAAAAAAGCATAATACTAATGATTTTCGTTAAATTTTGTCTAGAAAAATGTTAAATTAGAAGACAATTTATAGGAATTAATTAACACATTTCTGTGGATCTTAATGGATTTTTATAGGAGCTGGACATGGGGCTGAGATGGTGTTTATCTTTGGACCAACGTTGATCCAGAGTGCTCTTGGTCGTAGATTCAACTCTGTAGAAGAGAGGCTAAGCATTGCGATCAAGAGAATCTGGGCCGAGTTCATAAGACAAGGGTAAGATTTGATGCTATGATTGATTCATTCACTGTAATTTTAAATTAAACTAATCCTTTAGTTGGGTCCTTTAAAAATCGTGCCATAAAACAACAATAATGCAATGTATGTAGATATACAATTTACTGATGTGACCAATGAAAGTGTAAAATTCAACACTCCTTGATAATAATTAATAATTGTATGGATACTATAGAGACACATCAGGGTGCGTATTTGAAGGCGGAGATGAGTTTTGGATGAATGAGAATACAAGTTCGTTACTGACTAATTACAGCTAGTTCTTGGGACAGGACGATTATTTATTGAACCGATCATGGAAAGCTGGGTCCAATTTCAAACCATTAAAAAAGATTTTGACTTTTATCAGGATCGAACCGGCCACCTAATGATTAGAGGCATGATCTGAGGATGCGATACTCCCTGGTGTCGATTAACGTCCACACTAGTGAATACTAGGACTATCCGCAGTTCTATCCTAATAATTAGACCAATTCGTAAATTACAAGGGGAAAATGTGGTTTGGAATCCACTACAGTATAAACTGTAGGTCACTTAGTTGCCATTGGCTGTATGGGCTATTAACGGGCCTGTCTTAGGAACTTGCCGGCCTTAGTCAGTAACAAGACTACAAGATCGCGTCACTCATCCTACACTCATCTCCATTCATACTTGGCTTAAAATACCTACCTTTGTATGTTCACCATTTAAATTAAAAGCATAAAATTATTTAAGTATAAGTAATTAACACATGGTTAACAAAGAGGAATATTCAGAAAGTTTGTTGGATGCTCAGCATTACAAACAACTACTTGGACTTTCCATTTAAGGAACAAATTTTTCTCTGGCATTAATTCCTAAGAAGACTGGTGCATGGTAATTTAAGACATTGAGCGCGTTCTGGGAACATGTACCGGTGCACCGGTGCAAAAAATGTGTCGTTCTGGGAGACCGGTGAGTTAATCTAGCAGACAGCTATTTCCTCTTTTTCCTCCACCGGTGCAAGATGTATGCACCGGAGAAATTGTACGCATAATACACCGGCAGCCTCTGATTGGTCAGTTTCTTTGACAACAGCTTGCAGCTACAGCAAGATGGCGGGTCCACCGAATAATGTTCATTAGTTTTATAGGTTATGTTGCGTAATGAGTGAAAATTTGTTCAATGAGGGGGTTATATTACGTAATAAATAATAATTTTCAAATAATTTATTCCGTGAGGGCAAGTCTGTTTGTTTGATTTAAATATTATAAAGAAAATAGTAGGCGAATGTGTAAATTATAATCCGATGTGTACCGTAAACCGATGACTAACCGTTCTGGGATACCAAGACTCTTGCCCCGGGGCAGCACCGGTGAGTAAGTCACCGGTTAATCTGCACCTGTGCACCGGTACACGTTCCCAGAACGCGCCCATTGAAGCAACAAAAACAGCCAACAATGCCCTCATTATACTTTAATTAATGGCCATGACTATAAGAAACAGCTGGTCTATTAAGATTATACAAGGTTACACAGAAAGTTTCACTAAATTCTACACTTGCCCTTAATTCAATCATAATCAACTTAAAATACACATTAAAGTGTGTGTCCATGTCTTAAAGAATTGGATTGAATACAATACACCCACCAATATAATTCTCCTTTGGGGTAGGAAAACGTAGTAGGTATTTTAGGTAAAAAAAATGAGACAATTCTATTTATAAAAACTATTTAACAATTTTATGAAACATTTAAATTTTTGGAAAGTAAATAAAAGATATGTCTATAAAACTTAAATAAAACAAAAACATATATTTATGCTTATACTGTTAATATCAAGACGGTAAATATACATAAAAGATAGTAAGTGGTGATCGATTTCGATTGGACACTCCAATCATCATCATACCCATAATTTAATTGGGGTAAATACTTTGGCGTAAATTTAATAACACATACAATGCTGGCAAGAAGTTATTTCAATTTTGACACTTTCATTGGTAGTGCATCATGTGTGTGTATGGTTTCACTTTACTTGTTTCTGCACACTTCCTTTCATTCTGAATCCAATAAATTAATGTGAATGTGTGACAATGTTTTTCTTGTTCAACTTAATTGCCATTCAGTCAGAAATGTGATTTTCAGGAGTTTGGGCTCAAACCCATATGGGTATGGTGTTTCTTGGCGTAAATACTCAGCGGAAGAGGACAACTACATTATCTTAAAGGCAGTGACGTCTTTGCAGCCAATAGACCGTTCACAACAAGAGGTAGATGTGATGAGTCGATATAGGATCAGTCTGTGGAATGAACTGCTGCCGAAGATAAGAAACATAACCATCACCCCCGTCCCATCTGTCAAGAATGGAGTAAAAGGGATGCAGCTGACAACAGGTAGGCAACCTTGAAATGTTCAATGACTTTGTTGTCTATGACAATTAATTTATAAAAATTTAATTAGCTGGGATAACCAACAAACTCTGCTGATTTGAGATTTTACTGATGATGAAACTTTACCAGGAACGGCTGTTAAAATACTAACCCTTTGACCTGGGAACTTTTATGATTTGATAATCATTTTATGTTTTTGAGGTTATCAGATTCTTGTGCCTTTCATCCAAATATGTCCAAATATATATTTACACAAAATAAATCCAAAAAAGGAATATGAAAGCCCTCCTTCTCTTCTGGGGTAAAAAGAAGCAAAACAGCTGTTTTGTGCAATCCTGTTTAACTTGTACTAACACTGTCAACTACCCAAGCCAGACACTGTATATTTACACACATTTAAGAGGGCCTCAGCCATACATTAGTTAGCTTTGCACATTAGAGCCTTATACACAAGGTAGCCTGGCGACATTGCCAGCGACAGTAGCTGGGAACACACTGGCTACTAAACCTATAGTATCCAGAATGATTCCTTTTTTTGGTCCGTTTGCTGCAAACTAATGAAGTGTGTTGTTATAAGCTGTAAATTATCAGCTTAGTGAATTAATCATGAGTAAAACTAAATATCTCACTTAAATATCTCACTAAATATGGTTTCACTTTACTTGTTTCTGCACACTTCCTTTTAATTCTGAATCCAATAAATTACAGTAACGTGAATGTGTGACAATGTTTTCCTTGTTCAACTTAAATGCCATTAGTGAATTAATCATGAGTAGAGAGTAGAAGTAAATATCTTCTCCTTATGTCCTTATAAATTACTTTGGGTGGCACTACTCTTTCTTCGTGTATCCCCTTTGACTGAATCAGAAGGTTTTCTGGTGTGGACATAACTCACTCACAACATAAGGAAATACAGTGATGTGTGCTGTGCTGACCTTAGTGGTAACCTGGTGTAATTAGCTCCTTAGGGTTGCATAGAAACTTAAATCAATCAAGTCAATCTATAATATGGATGGATTTGAAATATAATAGGATTTTGCTAGCTATTATTCCTAAAAAAGTGGACCTGAATCTTAAAACCACCTTTTGAAAGGTGTTAAAATAAGTTACAGACATCGATGTATAATAACTCCCTGGATTGCGCGCTCAGGTTGAAGTAGGGCTTTGGCTGAAGAGGACAAAGTCCTAAAACAGCCTCAGTCCAGTAGGGTTTCACGTTTTAGCATCTCAGGTTTGTTCTTTATGCTGCTACAAGATTGGGGACTTTTTCAATTAGCTATTAGTATGCAAATCAATAGTTAGTTGTAATGGTTGAACCGTAAGTAGTTGTAGGGGGGAAAGTGTATAGATATAGATTATAGCTCTTAATTAATTAGTGCTGTAAATATGCCAAATGTATAGTTATGTTTATTCTTGACTTGACACAATTCATGTCTAGAAATGTACTGTTTGAATACAGGATTTTTTTATTTGATTTGATTTGATAATTAAATACCAGAAACTCATCTATATCACGTAAACTAATGCTGAGCCGGCCAAGCTCCTAGCGCCAATGCTGCGCCAAGCGATTTTATGCCTATTTTTTAACGCTTAACAATGATACAAGCAGATTCCATATGAAAATAGCTTCAAATAAAAAATAAAATTCATATTTTGATCCAAAACTTTGCCGCAGGAATTTTTTTTCCTGACCAAAAAATAAAAAAGGTCCTAGCTTACTACATTTTTCATGTTTTTAATGGTGTTTAAAAAAATCAGTTTTAATTTACCTAAATAAATTATAAAAAATAAGTTAAGGTAAAAACTAACTACACAGTAATAAGCACTGGTTTTCCCAGAAAAATAAAATATAAATTTGAAATTTTTATGTTAACAAATAAGTGTAGCAGAGCAGGTTGAGTAAATGTATGTTTGTGTAAAACAGAGAGGTTCATTCGGCCCGTCCACCTCGTTATCCCGCCAATTCGAATGGTGGGCATGGACCATTTTTCCACCACACAACGCGCTGCGCCATCCAGTAGAGTTATTATACATCGATGGTAACAGATCACAATAACTGTTGATGAATCTACAAAATAAAAAAGATTAGAACTACTAAATACTTAGGGGTATTGCAATTGCCATTATTATCAAGATTGTAAACCTAGATGATAAAGTCACAATTGTGTCTTCGCCAGGAGTATCAAAGCGACTTACTGCAATCACAAATTTACCTCAGATTGAGGTTTGTAATCTTGAATCCGACAGGTCTGTTGTACGACTGAGTCTGAGTAGAAGCTTACTTAGCATGAATGGTGAAAGTTAACGGGATGGGTGAATTCATTGATTTGCACCTCTGATCGGACTTAAGCAACCAGACTCTACATTAGCATGTAAGCTCTGTCAGAAACTAAACCCATGTAATGTGTAGATCACACAACTCTCAACTATGATGAATACTAAATAGTCAATTTAGTAAAACCCAACCAATAATAAAAGTTTTAAGATAAAACTGAAAAAAAAAAAACTAAATTGTAGCTGTTTATAGTAATACTAAGACATAAGTAAGATCTAAAATGTGAGATTAACAGCATCACTTATTTTCAGACCAGCCATACCGAAGTGCCATGTACACATTGATTGGATTCGTGATTGTGCTTCTCATTCTGCTGATAGTATGTGTCATCTTGCTGAAACGAAGAGCGAAGGAACGAGAACGAGATCTGTTCTGACGGTCAAGCGACAGGCAAAGCGGAGTAGGAAGAGATAACGAACCGAACGAACCAGAATCTCTAACTCCTCCACCCCCTCCCCCCCACTCCTGGCGATACAACCTCACCACCAACAAACTGTGATAAAGTACTAACCTTAGAAAAACCAACTTTTGGATACTAGAGTACAGTTGGTATTCTATCGGTAATAATCAGTTATAGTTCATTTTCGTTCATATAGTAAAGTTGACTTTTGGACTCCAAGTAGACACATTTATTAATTAACATCAGTTAATTAGTGTTACCAGGAAATTTGTGGGGTAGTTATGATTTTTCCATTTGTTATGTTTTTTGGGATGCTGAATCCGAATCTGAGGTTTCGAACGAAAGTTTTGACGCAACATTGACAAAAATACTTAAACAAATCGTATTCTTTGGGGGTTTTGGCTTATGAATCGGAAATTATCAACTTTTCGTAAATGACCTACATTATGTATAGATTATGGTTGAGGTACAGTATTTGAACTACTTTTAACCATTGTGGAAAGTAGCTTTCAATTATAGGCCTACTTCAAGCTATGCCTCATAGATCTATAAAGCATTTTTTTGTCTTGAAACTGTCAGATACTGTACCTATTTGTTTATATATATATATAATAGTTTGGCCAGCATATCTGAAAATATGCAAACCAACTGCAGTTCTTTATATAAAAAGGTTTCAACTGACTTAACATCCCCATGCGAAGAATGCCCACACAGCTAGTTAAAGTTCAAGAACACAAAATTGTACCCCTTAGGTGTTAATCTCCGATGAACCGTTTAGGTTCCAGAGCTATTTGAAAATTGTAGAATTTTGTATAAATTAGTAAATTCATCAAATTCTTGAAAATTAAAATAATGGCTAGCTTTTAACTATGTGATATAAACATTCACAATTATGTTGGCACCCCTCTTTACATTTGCATGAAATGTTCTGGAGTATCGAGTCTGGTGGGCAGGGCTCAGAGTGGTTGGCACTGGTACGAGACCTATACTCATTTGGGTCCCTTTTGTTGTTTGTCGTTTTACTTGATAACCACTGCTGCACTTGAAAGTAATCTCTTGAGAGCGTTGTCTTGCAGCTGCTTCCTTGGGGGGGGATGAAGCAAAGTTGGTTTTTCATTTTAAGCCGAATATAGCACGTATTGACTGTATCAGCATCAGCAAGTAATTTAAACTAGTCTCAAGTTTTTTGTTCGTTTGCTGTTTAGAGCCATTACAACCCTATTTCCTACCTGAACAGTGAACAATCTCACCCTGGTGTGCATGAGGGCCTTTAAAAGAACTGACAATTTTCTTTGAGTCATTAAACTTTAAGAAATTTCAATTTCCCAGGGGAAATTATAATTTTTTCCTTGAGTGAAAAAAATTTTCAGCAGAGGATGTCAAACTACTCATTGCACTCAAGGAAAAAAATGTTTTGATACAGTTTTGCCAATAGCAAGATGAGGATGGTATTTCTTTCCCTTTCCTTGTTTAAAAAAGAAGCATTCTTCGTCTCAGGGCAACACAAGCCAAGCGTTATCACCAAAAAATTGCCATCTTGCCCCACTACATTTTCATTTGCTGGGGACAACTCAAGAGCTGTTATAATTATCAGGACATCAGCGTTCTACCATTTATAACATATTTTGTACCTATTATTAAGTCAATTCGTTCAGCTGGTTTAAAAGTCTTGTATAAGCTTTTGTTCTCTTCATCATAGAAATGAGAAAGTGGTCATAGCAGGGTGTGGGTGGGTTGTTTCATAGCATAAAAACTTACGCAGCTCTTCATCTGAGTGTTTTACAATTGTTATTCGTTGTAAAAAGTGATAGCGTTGATGACTACATCTCTGTCTAGTATAAGAATAGAGCTATCAAATAACTCCAAGAGAGGCTGCACTCTTTTGCTTCGTTTGAATTTAACGTTTTGAAAATCATTACCAACATAATGCTGGATACCTTTCAAGTCCATCTTCTTTGACAAGTGGAAGTTTATTCTTTGATCAGCGACCTGTGCTTGATGATATTAAATCAGTGATCTCTGGGAAAAGTGGATGCTCGGGGAACCAATTCAGAAATTTAAGTGTATCATTGTTGTCTCGATTTTGCATCATATGTCTACTGTCACAGTGTTTTTCTGATGTCATGAGTTCAACACAGTGGGGGATTACCCATTAGGCACAAAGGAAACTGCCTAGGGGCCGCAGGCAGAAAAATAAAAATAAAATTGTTGTAAGAATATTTTTAAAACGCTAAAAAAACTAAGAAATTTAAAGCCAGTTTCTTACAATTTCCCGGACCCTTTCCACCTGGGGGGTTTTCCATGCCTCGGTAGATCTTGTGACCCTATGCAAAGGTTATCCTATGTGACCTTGTTACCACGCCTGCAGTTACTCCAAAACCACCACTCGTCTTTGTTGACTTCATTCATTAAAGTTCATTAATGTTTGATTGCCATATCACTCCAAGTGTTGAGTTTGGCTTTGAAATCTCCCTACAAGTCTTTCACGGTTTCTTTCAAAAGACTAGACAGAATCACTTAATTAAGCAATTTCAACAACGTGGATTTGTTATGAGACCTTTACCTTGGCATATACAATTAACATTTGACAATGTCAGGAAAATTTGAGAAACTTACTAATACAAAATGCGTCAATTTTAAAATAGCCCTGGAACCTAAAAAGTTCTTACGAGATGAACGCCTAAGGGTTGCATTTTGTAGCGAATTATGTGTAGGCCTACTTTAGTTTTTATACTAAAGGTAATTTACCAAAAGTTGATAATTTTTGAGTTATAAGCCAAAAACTACAAAAAAGTGTTTTTTCCACTTTTTTGTCAATGTTGTGTCAAGAATTTTTGTTAGCTAACAATTTTTAGTGTTTTGTTTAGTTTGGATTTAAAGTTGGCATATTCGATATGAATCAGTAATAATTGACAGTGATGCACTCTTTTTCAGTTGCTCAATCAAACTCTGTTCATTTTACTTCTAAAGCTGGAAACTGGCTACACTTTAAACATGTAAGAGAGGTGTCTTCTTAACTCCATATGGTTAAATGGTAGAACACAGGTATAAAAGCTGTGAATAGAGTGTGTTAACTCCCAAGTAGCAGAAAAACGAGAAAAAAATTGTTTTGATATCAATTTTAAACATATATTAAACTGTTATTAATATGAGTAGATTTCACAATAGGCACATTTTAAAATAGTTCAGAAAAAATTTAAAAATTTACTTAACAAAAATTTAAAAACTGATTTTACAACAATTTAAAAAATTGTTTACAAATAGGACCAACCATCCATCCCATGGGGATATCCTACATAAAACACAAAATAATAAAGTTTTTATATTAAATGCATAATAATTATCAGTTGAGTATTTTGATTAAATAGTTCATAAAAACAAACTTTGATAAAAGACTGGAAAAAAGTATCTTCCCAGGTCTTGAACCTGAGACCTCCAGTTTCTGAACCCCCTGCCTTACCTCTGAGCTATCTGTGATTGTTGATATTTGACGTTTTCAATCGGTCAAAGAGGAGCCGACAGTTATAAACAACTGTCCTAAATTATTTAAATCCTAAAACTGGCTTCAACTTAAATTTGGGAATGGGATGTCCACTACTGTCCATATAGTCAAAGCTAAAATACCCCCGCCGCAGCAAACCTGCCGTCTAAGCGAATTTCCATTTGGCTGAATTTATTTTCAATTGATCTATTTAAATAACATTAGGTTTAACGAGTACCTAGGTTTGCTGCTACAAGGAAACTAATAAATAGTGTGTTTTAAGTAAAATAATTATTGCTTAGTATAAAATGAATATATTTGCCAAGTTTGATCAAAAGATATCCATAAACAAGCAAACTACAACATTTTACAATATTCTCCATAAGAATAACATGGGAATTTTAAATTTAAATTTTTTTTAGTTTTCTCCGTAACCAATAACCGTAAAAAAACACTTTGATATACTGAATTGTTTGTTTTTTTAAGCTCTTTAAGAAGGTGTAGAGAAAAATTGGAAAATTTTGTGTTTTGAGGGTCAAAAGTGAGAAAAACCAATTTTTACCCTATAAAACCTCCCATAAAATCCTGTTCCCATGGTCCGATCATGCTGGATCGCGAACTCATTCAAGTTTATCCCGCCTTACACCTTCAAACCAAATTTCATCAAAATCGGATAAAAATTACTCAAGTTATCGTGTTCACGGACACATATATATATAAATCTATATATATATATATCTATATATATATATATATACATATATAAAAATTTGAACGAATGGTGTTTTTGGCTTCTGGGGACATCAAAATGAAAAAGTAAATCGGTCCCGGGCCTAAGTCTTACCATGAGACCTACGGTAATAGCTACTTCCCTATAGGGAAATTCGCTAACAAGTAATATCTCATCAAAATTATTATATTTATAGTTGTTAGAGTAGCCTACAGTAAGAGTCTATTAAAGCTTTTGATGCTAATAATTATTGTTAGGTGGTCCTAAAAGTAAAAGGGTGGCGTCGTCCTGTAATCCAGCTACTAGGAGGTCACGAATTGTGGATATTTATAGGGATGCACTGTGGATGCGATGCTCCCTGGTGTGGATTAACATCCGCACTAGTGAGTACTACGACTATCCGCAGTACTATCCTGATAATTAGACAAATTCGTAAATTACAAGGAAAAATGTGGTTCGGATTCCACTATAAACTGTAGGTCCCTTAGTTGCCATTAGCTGTATGGGCTATTAATTAACAGCTGTGTCCAAGGAACATGTCGGCCTTAGTCACTAACAAGACTACAAGATCGCGCCACTCATCCTACACTCATATTTGGGTTAAAATACGCACATAGTGGCGTCCCCATCTTAAATATTTGATAATTGATAATTGTTGGTAGGTACATTGTCTGAACATAATAGTGGCTCTATTACTCATGGAAAAAAATACGCAAGATTAAAATTGTCTATGTCCACTACATAAACTTTCAAAGTTCAGAAAAGATTGACTTATTTGAAAAAAACAAATTAAGGTGTAACATTTATGCTAATGTTGGTTGATTGATTCACATGTTGTATTAAAATTTTAAAACGGGAGGTTTTTAAAATTTTACTTTGATGATGAAATTACTTTAATACTTAAATACTTTTCAATAAAGTCATGAATAGCACCAACACACAAGACAACAGAAAAACAAGTGATGTTTGACCAAGATTTATAAACAAAAAAAACTATTGTAGCAGAGTCTGGCAGGAGGGCGTAGGAAAATGCCACCATGAAGGGTTTAAGTTAGTACAATATAGATAGTTTTGCAAATCAAAAAACACACTCATCTTGTAAATCAATAAGCTATTTTCAGTCAAATTACTTTTAGAAACTAAGATGAGCCAAAATAAATTCATATGAGCCATTTTTACACAACATTCAACTTAAAAGCTTGCCAGTACGAAGTAAAAATGTAAGGAAAGTAATTGTTGTGTTAATAAGTTATTATGTAAATACATCTGTAATTATATTGTAGATAATTATTTATTAATATACAGTTGAACACTTTAACTTATTATCAAGTCAAGTGTGATGTTTTAAACTATAGGCACAAAACACATTTTCTCATGTAAATATTAAGAAGAGGCTACTTTTTATAGAATTTATAGATTTTATAGAATAAAAATGTTTGAACTTCATGCTTAGCGTTATCATTGACTTTGTCTATGTATATATTTAATGTAGGCCTACTTTATAAAATCGTCCATGATGTAAAATGGATTGTTATGAAGCCAATATTATAAAATCTACTGCAAACAACAGTTTTGATGTATTTATTCTTATTGGCAACAGACCACAATATCTTATAACTTGATGAATATCTATAATGTTTAGGCAGACTAAAAATAACTGTATGAATTTGTCTGGGGACGTTGGTTGATGGCCTGAACACCTCCGAACCCTGGTAGAAACCCTGGTCACCCAACAGCCTGGCACTTTTAATCCCCCAGACACCTTCCCTGCTCTCATACCGTTCCATAAACTGACAGCCCCAATCACCTACCAAGAGGTTGACCGGAAACGGCGCTTCCTCAAAAACTCCTCTCCAGGCCCAGATGTCATTTCTAACCTTCTCAAGAAAGCTCCTCCAGTCATTATTACCCTGCTCACCACCCTCTACACTTCAGTGCTCCTTTTAGGATACTCCCCCAAAGCGTGGAAGCATGCACACGTCATCCTCTTCGCCAAACCCCACAAAGACCATCGCAACCCGTCTCAACTACCGAACCATCAGTCAAACAACAAACATTGATTGAACAAAACATTGATGGTAAAATGATTAACCAAAGTGAAGGTACGAGAAAAATAAATAAATGGAAGATTTCTTACAAGAAACATGTTAGCACTGACCAAAACACAAATACTTTACCATTTCTTTAAAATTTCCCAAAGAAAAAAATACATCCACCAAATACAAAAGTTACAAGTAAGGTAAAATATTAAAACACAAGTAGTTGAGAAATATGTAATAAAAAATTAACAATATAACACTGTTTAGTTACACAATAAAACAAATATTCTAATTTCACTGTCCATAAATATCGCACATTATTTTACACTGCATACTAGAGATGTATTATACATCTATACAAGTTATATACATCCTAGTTTGGTAAAAAAATATCTACCTACAACAAAAGTTACAACAAATCCAATCAAAAGAGTGCAGTCTTAAACCAAACTAATTGAGAAATTTGTAATGAAAAATTAACAACACTGTTTGGTTATACTATACAAACACAATTTGTTCTGTTATTGTTAATAAATATAATATTTGATACTGTGTACTGGAGATGTATTAATATTCATACAAGTTATATACAAACTATTTTATGTACCAAAATATGCGAATATTAAATAGGAATAAAGCTCAATATCACTATGCCTTCACAGCCCGTTGCTCGGTGAGCAAGATGTCTCCAATGTTATATTCCATTCCTAATACTTTGTCCATCAAGATCAATGTGACCATGATTTCTGCTGGGTTTTCTTGGTCTGGTTGAACTTCAATGACAGTTCCCAGCAAAGGCCGGTCTGAAACCAACTGCTTGAACCTAATACAGTCTTCTACAGTCCAGTCCCTGTGGCTAGGCCTTATATCTGAAACAGTAAATATTTTAAATTGAATAAAACTTAATTGTTTATGACACAAACAATATAGTTCTTATTACAAGGTATAATACTAAATCTGAGCATTACTAAGCTTAGTACCTGTATTTAATCTTTCTTTAATCTATAAAAGAGGAAGTATGTATGTATGTACCTATGTATGTATGTATGCAATGTATGTATGTATGTACCCTATGGACTCCGAAACCGATGGACAGATTGTAATGAAACTTTCAGGCATTATTAAGCATTATTCAAGGATGGTAATGTGTGAAGTTTGGTGCAGATCCATCAAAAGTGTTGCTAGTGTGATCCATGGTTGTGTTGCTAGCCTAGTGGTTAGCATCTCGGACTTCGGTGCGGGAGGGACGGGTTCAATCCCCGGCACATCCACAAAACTTTAATGGGTTTGGACCGCTTTCCCTTAAAAGTGTTTGAAATGACCTCTTAACAAAATGTTGCTGTCACACGCAATTAAATGAACAAAAATAGTAGTAACTGAATAAACCGGCACAGTTTATAGGTTATGCAGACAGGAATAGACTTTGACTAGATATGCGGCGAGCCAACTGATAACAGGTCCGCACACATTGAACTCTGGACCAGCTATTAGCATTAGCGTGCAGGTTCTTTTCTAAGTGGTCGACCTATAAACAAGTTCTCGATATAACTAATCCTAACTTAAAATTTTGGTTAACTTACTTGCTATCCCTCCTTTGATTGCCATGAGTGGGAGTTCTCGGAAAATAGCAGGCAATTGTCTCAGACTAGATGTATGGACACATACACAGTCTCCGTAGTCAATGAGACGGACAGCCACTCGATTCCCTGACACCTTGTTGTATTTCACTGACACCCTGGCACAGCAGTATTTAAAATTAGAACTAAATAATGATGTATTTCCTTTTTAACAATAAAATAAATAAATACCCCCGCCGCAGCATACCTGCAGACTTAGCGAATTTCCATTTGCCTGATTGGATTTACACTAAAATGTCTCCTTAAAAATATCACATTTTTATTCCCTATTTAAATGGAATTAGTTTAACGAGTACTGTACTTAGGTTTGCTATAACAGGGAGTGTTTTTTGTTGTAAAATGTTAATACTGTAGCTTAGTAAGAAATGAATGTATTATCCAAGTTTGATCAAAATATGTTCATAAACAAGCAAACTACAACAGTTGACTTATTCTCCATAAGAATAACATGGGAATTTGAAATTTACAATTTTTTGGAATTTTCTCCGTAACCAATAAAAAAAATGGAGAACATAACAACGCTTCAATATACTAAATTGTTTGTTTTTTTAAGCTCTACAAAATTGTTTGGAAAAAAATTGTGAAATTTTGTGTTTTTAGGGTCAAAAATGGGAAAAACCTATATTCAGCCCATAATACCCCGTTCCCATAATCCGATCATGCTGGTTAGCAAACTCGTTTGAATAAATGTAGGTTTACACGTTTGTACCACATGTCATCAAAATCGGATCATTTTTGCTCGAGTTATCGTGCTAACGGACTCATAGGAATTTGAACGGATGGTGTTTTTGGCTTCTAGGGACCTCAAAATGAAAAAGTAATTCGGTCCGGGGTCTTACCATGAGTACTACGGTAATAGCTTATTCCCTATATGGGAAATTCGCTAAAAACTAGATAATGTTGTGTCTTAATCCAGGGGATGGAAAGACCACGGATAACTGAAAACACGGTTAATCCAACATGACACAAACATGTATTACAAATCCCTCAAAATCGCTTACTATTGTATAAGAGGACATTAATGATGTGGTAATATGTAACATTTTACATCAACATAAACAATTAGTATGGCTCAATCATAATATTAATTAAAGTCATTATTCTTGGCTGCTGTAACTTTTAAAATCAGCGCTTGCTCAAACAAACAAAAAATTGCCAATACAGCAATGAATCACGTAAATAACAGAAAACTACTGCTAGTCATAGGATTCTGCCAGTGGCGTAACTAACGCCAATGAAACCAATGCAGTGCATTTGGGCTCAGGCCTTCAGAAGGCGCAGGCCTTAGGGGTTGCAAAAAACTGATATTCTGGAAAGTTTTTAGCAAAGAATATGTTGGAGCAAAACTCCCTGTAGCTTACCAAAAATAAATGTAAAAAAATATTCGTGGTACAATATTCCGTTACAGTCGCAACAGAATGCCGGTGACTCTTTTGTTTACTATAATCGTGATCTCCTCGATGTGTTGTGCACATCTGCGCTTATAGTACAAGAGGATTTAAATAAGCTAAGTTTTGTAAATAATACTAAACCACCTGTAGGCCCAGACACTAGTATTTTTTATATGAATAAACAAGACTTAAGAGAAAAGGAAATGGAAATAGAAGTTTTATTCAAAGTCAAATCTTTCTTAGTTTCAATGGAATAATATAAAGACAGGGGTTGGTTTTGTATAACCAATCTATTCAAAACATGGTAAATCATTTAAAAAATGGTATCGGTATCGAAAATAGATTTTTCAGGTGTCAGTATTGAGAATAGATTAATGTTGGTATCGACACATCACTACTTAAAAGCAATTCGTTCAATAATAATTTTTTATTAATATTCTCATTATCAAGTCTAGCAACAGTTTCGGATATAGCCTGACCTTATTTCACTGTCCCTAAAAAGAGTTTCAATAAGCTTTCTAGGTCATAAAAATAAACCAGAGCCCGATTTGGAGTTGTTGGTAGAGTTGTTCCCAGAGTCGTTCACTGGCTAACAACAACATCGTAGTACCGTTTTGGCGTTTTATACCTTACATACGGACAAAACATTTGAAGTGGTAGTATTTTGATTTAGATATGTTAGCACAGGCAATATGGCACTATTTGTTATAAATCCCGAAACACTTCACTTTGTTACGTTGCTCTTGAACTGATATAGAACACAGACCGCAATGACATTTTTCTACTTCAGCCGCCATCTTGTAACATAATCCATAAAAGTTTTAGGTTGCTTTAACCACAGGGTGATTCTGAGGGGGGGGGGGCAGAATTTATTTTAGCATCTGTCACGTACAGCTCTATATTGCTAGCCTGAATATTGTTAAATATAGCCTAGACCTAATTTTATGAGTATATCAAATTGATAAATAGTGATAAATAGCTGCCAGTGCTCTACTAGTATATATAGTAGCACAGGAAACACCTTTCCTGTGCTCTACAGTAAATGGCAAGTTTAACAATCGTTCTACCCATCTAGATAGATTTTTGATAAATAGCTGATTCCTGAATTGGTCGATTCTGATACCGATTCTGATTCTACAACTTTGGTTTCGATTCTCGATTCCGCACTCGATACTGATACCTGTTAAAAATTCATTTAATAATACATCTATGTGTGCTTCTCCCTATCCCTATAAATAAAGGAGCATGTTATTTTTATTTAATATTTATACAACAAGATAACTGCATTGCTATTGATTAAGGTTACATAGATTAGTTTAGCCTATAAGAAAAATAAGATTAGTTAGTCTATTTCAAGAAGATATGAATTTTAACATATTTTATTACATTTTAAGACAACAATCACCGGTTTCGGTAGGCCTAAAATATTCACTGAGTTTTTTGTTTGCATAATAATTAGGGCACCTAGGCCTACAATGAATGTTCCATATTGCTTGAGTTTATACTCAAAGTCAATATCAAAGTCACCTTCAGTATTGTCATCCATAACAGTCAAAACCAAAAATTTTGAATCTCAAAACCAAAACTTAAAACATTGAATCCCGAATCTCAAAACCTAAACGCGAAACTTTTTAGTTACCTACCTGATCAAGGTTGCTAAAAATACAGGTATTGATAACAGATAACATTTTAATTATGATTATGTGATGAAAACTTAAAGAGATTGACTCCTGATCCAGACATAAAATCATAAATGTGGCGGATAAACTTAAAACCCAAAATAACATATTTTTATGAACATTTTTTTTTGTCCTAGGACGCTAGGCACGAGCCTGGAATTGTTTTTCACATTACTTCAGGCTAGACCTAGGTGTTGCAGCATTATCACTTAGATAAAATCCATTGGTGACTTGGCGGGGATCGAACCCGGGACCTCAGGGCCTGAAGTCCCGCGCTCTAACCACTACGCCAGCTCGCTCCCCAAACAACAAACATTCAAATAAATGAAACTCATGACATTAACATGAATGAGTATTACATTCTAATTAGAACATTTTGTGGTCAATATTTCTTTGTGTTTAATAAATATCACGGAAAGTAAATAAAAGAAACGTCTTATAACACTTAAAGCATATATTTACGCTTATACTGTTACTCACAAGACGGTAAATATACAAAAAAGATGGTGAGTGGTGATCGATTTCGATTGGAGTCCAATCAAAATCGATCACCACTTACCATCTTTTTTATATATTTACCGTCTTGTGAGTAACAGTATAAGCGTAAATATATGTTTTAAGTGTTATAAGACATTTCTTTTATTTACTTTCTGTAAATTTAATAACACGTACAATGCTGATCCAGAAGTTATTTAATAAATATCAATATGAAACTGAGTTGTAAGTTGTTCCAGTATTTAAAATGTTTTTGCAGTTCAGAATACAATTTACTTGTTTCATTAGTGTTAATGGAGATGTGTTTGCTCCATTGCTACCAGCTTTATAAGATACACAAAATGAGAGCAGTTTCAAAAATGAAATTGCCAAAATTTTCAATTTCTAAACTTTTAAATCTTGAAACTCACCCATCAAATCTCAAAACCGAAACTTTTCCAAAGTTTTAATGGTTTTTAGATTTGAGATTTGGTTTTGACACATCACTATTGTCATCATCAATATCACTTAAATTACTTAAAGAATCATAAAAAGGTCATGGGAGTCTGTCACATCACTAGAACGGAGATCATAATCCATTTTGAACAATTCACTACGCAAACTAAGAACAAAACCAAAACTCAGGTTAAACGATTAATTTTCCATTTGCAAACTCGCGCAAGACAGCTGTTCAGCCAGAGAGAAACAACATATAACGATAAAATTACATCGCCAAACGGTTATCTCCAATAGTCACCATGAAGCCCTGAATTAGCTGAACAGTTAGTGCAAGTAAGCTGGGGCATTGATCACACATATATAAAAACAAATTATACACTACTCTTAGCCTGCTAATGAAATGTACATAAACCCTGTTACGAGTTAGAAAAAGCGAGTTATACTAGTGCCATTGACTATATACACCTTATGTGTATTATTTATACATTCAATGCTTGTACCATCTGGCAACCTTCTGTACTACAGAAGGCCCGCGGACAATGAGCGTCACTTCTGGTGCTGCCCAAGGTTCTATACTCGGCTCGGACCTCTGGAACGTTGCCTACGGCAGCCTCCTTAGGTCTGAAATGCCTGAAGAAACCGTTTCAGTTGGGTACGCAGATGACATTGCAGCCTTAATAGCTGCTCGTAGTGTTGAGCTGGCCCAGCTAAAATTAAACCGAGTCATGCGAGCTATAAACGCATGGATGGTAGATCACGGTCTCTCTCTCGCGCTGAACAAAACTGAGATCGTGATTCTGACCAAAAAGCGGTTTGACACCATTGTGCCGTTGAGTGTGGGGGACGTCGAAGTCCAATCCGTTCGCGCCGCCAAGTATCTTGGTGTCATGGTGGACTCTAAGCTTAGCTGGCGGGACCAGATATTCCGAACGGCGGACAAGGCCGCTAAGGTGATCTCTTCTCTTAGCCGGTTAATGGCCAATGTCGGAGGTCCTCGTTCCAGTTGCAGAAGGCTGTTGAAGTCTACAGTTCAGTCTGTGCTCCTGTATGGTGCGGAAATGTGGGCAGACGGGCTCAATAAGGAGGTGTATAGGATGCGGCTTGCCAGAGTGCAGCGTCAGGCAGCACTCAGGGTAGCATCCGCCTACCGAACAGTGTCTGAACCTGCCATCTTGGTGGTTGCTGGAGTAATCTCCGTCAAACTTTTGGCGGTGGAGAGGAAAGCGATTTATCAGCGGCACGGAGAGGACCATGCAAAAACGGAGGAGCGCAACCGCACCTACCAGCTCTGGCGCTGGACCAGGAGACTGATTCAGCAAGTCCAACCATGGGTTGACCGACGGTATGGTGAGGTGGACTATTACCTTACCCAGTTTCTGACAGGTCACGGTTTTTTTCGGTCGTACCTGCTCAGGATGGGCAAAGCCGTGTCACCCAATTGCATCTACTGCCCAGGCACTCCCGACGACGCGGAGCACACCTTCTTCCGCTGCCAGCGTTGGGAAGGTTCCCGCCTGGAGACTGAACAACATGTAGGGCAGTTGTCGGTAGACACGGTCATTCCGATGATGACGGTGGGTGAGGACAATTGGACCTGTATGTCACATTTCGTCCAGGATACTCTCCGTACAAAGAAGCTAGAGCTTGACTGAGATGCAGTCTAGGTCATAAAGAAATTGAATGCCAGAAATGGCGCGAGCCCTGAGGGCTTAGGTCACACGTTGACCTGACCTGAAGTAATGTGACAAACAATCCCAGTTGCAACTAGTTTCGACTCCTATGTGGAACACAGAGTCATGACCACGCAACTACCCGTGCCGCGTCGTAGTGTCCTATACTGGCCAGTAGCAATGTTATTCCATATTTTCGTGTTTCGTGTTGTATGTGTGTGTTTTTGTATTTACCGACGACCTCAACTTGAGTGACATGACATTTTTATCAGCCTGATGATGGGATTTTAATCCTGAAACCGGCCGCATAAGACGACAACAATAGGATCACTGACGGACAGGTAATATAAACCATTTTATCCTATGTGGAATCATAATCAGGCGGTACAAGGACTTCTTCTTTCTTCATATGAAGAGCGTCATATTTAACACGTAAAAATAAATAAACATTTACACACGACACAAAACACGTTACGGATACGAAACATTTACTGATCAGTTACGACAACAGACGACGCTAACCCGACGGAGTTTAAGTCCAGACTGCGGGTGGTCATTGCAGTGGTGTACGTCCGTTATTTTATCACCTCAGGTTACGTCCTAGTCCTGTCTAACACACTTCCACTCCCCAGTATCCTTATGGCAGTGTCATATATAAAATTGGACGAAAACGTTAGTTGATCATTTAACACATTTTCGTGGTCGGATGTTACTGCCTTATAAATCTCAAACTCTTCTAAGGTGTTTAATTTAAATCTGTCTCTAGAGAAATGTAAAATATTCATGTTGTTACTAATGCTGGTATAATTGTGGCCTTGAGAAATTAAATGTTCTGCAAAAGATGATGTCTGGTGTACTGTTGGCGCTTTTGGGAGATGTTCCTTTAATCGTTTTGTAAAGGAGTTTTGTCTGGCCGATGTAAACTTTAGTACAATCGGTACAATTGATCTTGTATACGCCGGATCTGCCAGTCCTTCTTTCTGGGAATAATAGTCGTTGTTGAAACGGAAGTAATTCTGATTTAGTACCAATCTAGTGAGTGAAACTAACTCATTTATTGACTCTGTAGATAGATTTAAGTTTTTAATTAGGTTTTGGTGTAATAAAGTGATCGTTTCTTGGACGGGTACATTGGTGTACAAATTGACAATGTCAAATGATAACAATTTGTAGTTGTCTTTTACAGCATGGTTCTTAATTTTATCAACAAGTTCTAGACTATTTTTTATGCTATGACTATTTTCCAAAACTATTTGATCCTTTATTATTTGATCTAACTTCTTGGCTATTTTGTAAGCTGGACTTGGCATGAAATTCACAAGGGGCCTAATCGGGACATCAGTTTTATTAACCTTGGGTAGGCCTCTGAGTATGGGGGCTTGTGGGTTAGTTACTTTCAATGACGCAATATAGTTTTTTGATAATAGATTTTTACTTTCGGAAATGGCTCTATTTATCAACTTGCTATAATTTAAGGTGGGATCTTTAGTTGCCTTTATCGGCCTTAGTGATAAGAGCATTGTGGTCGGCAAGCTTGTGCTTTACGCTCGCTAGGACCCGCCTCATAGCATTGAACTTCCTGTGTTTTCCTGTGCGTGGGGCAGTTTTTGCAATGCATCTAGCTTTATTGCCTATGATAATTCTAGTAGCTTCTCGTACTTCGTTGGTTCTAATTTGTTTGATTGAAGTCTCAGTATCCAACAGCTCAGTGACTAAACTGTTTTTCTTACTGTTAGGAAAATTGAAATTTAAGTAACCCTTTGTTTAATAAACTCAATTCCTCTTTATCAAAATCAAAGTGTTTTGTGTCGTGTGTAAATGTTTATTTATTTTTACGTGTTAAATATGACGCTCTTCATATGAAGAAAGAAGAAGTCCTTGTACCGCCTGATGATGACTCCACATAGGAGTCGAAACTAGTTGCCACTGCAATTAAATGGATTGCTTGATAGCAGGTATTTAAACCTTTTTAATATTATTTGGCAATCCGGAGGCTACATCCACAATGAAACAATCCCAGGTCTGTGTCCAACAGAGTAGAGGGGGTATTTTAGTTAGTAGTCTGACAAGCTCAGGAGTCTCACACTACAGGCTGGCTACCTGTGTGCGGAAAAGCATTTTTACCTCCTCTCCCTAAAAAAAAAAAAACATCTGGCAACATTGCCCTCAATCTGACAACATGGCGGCAACTAGAGTTCTGTTAGTTGTCACTGTTGTCAACTGAGTTGAACCACAGAAAACATACTACTATAACCCAGAATGCCAACCGCATGGTAAAAAGCGTTAAGTACTTTGAGAGAGCATAGTAACGCTGGTGGTGCTGCCTACGAATTGACAGGCAAACCTCTCTCAATACGCTTTTTACCATACAGTTGGCATTCTGGGTTATAGTAGTATGTTTTCTGTGGTTGAACACGTAGTCATTGTCATTCCCTCATTCGTCGTCGGCACTCGTTGTGAAATGCAAAGGCAAGCTATTTTAGATGATAATATTAGCTGGCTACAGAGTATTCAAATAAACTACGATGTGCGACTCTTTAAAAACTTCAATGTCAGTTCTTGAGGCAGGCGAAGGACTCTAAGGGATTACAGCCCTCACACACACAAAGACACATATACACACACACATGGGTCACGCGCCGTGGGGTAGGTTTGGCCCTGCTGGCGAGTGCGTGTGCGTTTGGTGGAAGGGTTGTTAATCCCTCAGAGTCCTTCGCCAACCTCACGAACTATAACATCATAATTAACCCACTTTTAAGAATCGGTATAGAGTACAATGAAGCGAATTATCAAGTATCGGCGATTCTTCAATACCACTGGTATCAAAGGTATCGAGGTATTGAGAATCAGAATCGGCCCATCGCTAATGATAAACAATACATGAATAGAATTACAACATATCCAAACTCACCTGTACCACTTGTCCTCATAGTAGGCAGCATACAAACAGTGTTCCTTGACATCCTTAATGTCAAGTCCAACATTAGCATCAGTTTGGTAGTACTTGGCCATTTGTTGTGTCAATTCCTCCAAATCATCACTATACTTTTGAATCTGAAACTAAAATTGACCAATTTTGTGAAAAATAAAAATTGAATTACTGTTCGAACTAAGACCGAATTTACTTTAAGATACTTAGAGATAGTAGACATCAGATCTTTGTGGACTAAATACAGCCTTATTTATTAAAAAAGAACATAGCTTAATGGGCCACTCGAGGAGTGTGCTACTATCCTAATTATTAGCGAAGCTCTTTGGGATCAACTTTAATAAACATTTTGTAGCACTATCATGCAATAACTGCTGATACATATTTCAGACAAACTTACCAAGAGGTTATTTCAACAAAAAGTGGGAATGTTTAAAAATAAACAAATGAGATAATGCTAATGCAATTTAAAACAAACTGAAAATGTTCAATTTCAACATTCAACATATGGGGCAAACGTGGCCACATCAGTTTAACAAATTAACAAGGAAAATGTAAACATGATATTTACCACATTATGGTCTTAACAAACCATCGCAAATCACAAAAAGTAAATCAAAGATACGTCTGATAACACTTAAAACATATATTTTTACACTTAAACTGTTAACTCACAAGACGGTAAATATATATAAAAGATGGTAAATGGTGATCAACTGATAAACTGTACAGAAGCATATCAAGAAAGGCTAAATGTGAGATTCTATAACTGTAGAGACGTAGGAATTGGCTAACTCAGGAACTCGCTAACTCGGTCGTGTGTTGGAACTGGCTAACTCAGGAACCGGCTAACCGTCTCAGTCAGGAATTGGCTAACTCCGGAACCCGCTAACTCGATTTTGTCTCGCGGCGGAATTCGCTAACTCTGGAAGTCGCTAACCCGGCAGCACCCACTGCACGGTGCGTTGCCAACCTTGTACGGCGAAATAATCGTACACTGCCGTATTTTAAAATGTCAGTATCAATGTAGATGCAGTAAATGTTATTTTTTTGCTATACATTCTACTTTTAACAGCTAACTAGCCCAAATTAATTAAAATGCAATTTAAAAAATCATGAAAAGAGGTTTTTTATTTAACTGTACAACGGCCAATGAAATGAAATGTCTTTATTGCCTTTAACATGGTATAACATGCATTGCAATTGTCAAAGACTTTAGACGTAAAATTAATATTAATTAAGAGGATAACCCGGGTTCTACACTAATAGCCTACGATAACATAAATTTACAAATTGTATTTATGAATAGACAAATTTTTAATGCAATCCATGAATACATTACCACTTTATAATGTATTGATCAATATTTATTTAAATTCAATAGCTCTATTTAAAAAGATATTAGCACTACAATGTATTTCTGTAATGACGTTTAACGTGTAAATTTTATCGGGAAGATAATCCTCAAAATTCTAGGCATACAAAGTCTACGGCAATTACTGAAGATTTTTTTTTTGTCTATTTGTTGGTTGCATCGAATAGGATAGACTATTACAATACTGCTTCAATTTTTGTTAATAGATTATATGTTTCCTAACAACATAATGTAAGAACATTTAAATTCCTTTTCTTGACTAAAGTAAAGACGCAAATATTGTAATACATTGTTAACGTTTTTGATTTGCGTTATTATTAATTAATGTACCTAGGTAAATCATGTGCCTGATATAGAAAAATACCGAAACTATTTTTATTTGTTTACCAATACTATGATTCGGAAATATTTCGGTAATATAACAGAAATATTAAAAAGAACCAAACTATTGTTAACACTCACACGACAGATATAATAGGCCTTTAAAGAGTCAAATATTATAACCTATCAAGGACAAGCATTCAAGGTTACAAGCCCAGTATACAAAATACGAAATTAATAGTTTTATTTGAAGAATTTCACAAAATGGTATTTATTCCAATAAAAGAAACAAATGGAGGACTACGAGAATAGATATTTCATAACATGTAAAAGATCCAAATTAAATGTACAGTACTATCTTTTTGCATCCCAATAAACTACTATTTAAGTAAGAAAACCATGTGTAAAACATACTCCCTTATATTAGTACATTTCTCATCCTTATAGATCAGCTGAAGTCAGTTTTATTGTTCTGTCCGGTGCACTGTCTTTAGAGATCGTGTTTTGTTTACAATTGTTTCTTGTTTTCAGTCATTAAAAATCTCGTTTAACCAAATAAAACAATCTAATCATAACTAATAACACGTCCCCTAGTTATATAACCAAACAGTAAAGAACAAATCATGAAGTTAACTATAAAATAATAGAAACACAATTTCGTCGACACTAGCGATCAGTGTCACCGGACATGAACTAGGCACGAAAACGAGCTTCAAAGGTTACAATGGGATGTAAAGTTTACTTGTGTTGGTTAGTCTATACCAAGACTATAATGCATTTTCTACCCTAATAATCATAAGAATAATATTAAACATACTTCTAAATATATTTATTTTAATTTTCTACCCTAATAATCATAAGAATAATATTAAACATACTTCTAAATATATTTATTTTAATTTTCTACCCTAATAATCATAAGAATAATATTAAACATACTTCTAAATATATTTATTTTATCGACTACGTTGCTCTTACTCCTAATTATTCGTAGGATACGACATTATGGTACCGATACGATCGTAGGTACTACACTTTCGGCAACACTGGCCAAAATCTTCGTGCTTGACTCCTATTGGACAGCACGCGAGGCTTCTGATTGGGAGTTAGCGAGTTCCGCCGAGGGGCCGAGTTAGCCACTTCCGTACGAGGACGGAATTCGCTAACCCGGCTCTAGAGCGGGTTAGCGGGTTCCGGAGTTAGCCAATTCCGAAACCGAACAAGTTAGCGAGTTCCTCTCATCGAAAAAATTTGAAGATAGGGCGTTTAACATGGGGTTAGCGAGTTCCAGAGTTAGCCAATTCCGCGGACCCACTCAAAACTGTGTACTTTCTGCTTTGTTACTTTATGTGTGTCTAGGTGTACTCACTACTCACTGGAGTTTGAGCACAGAAAAGAATGCCAACCGCATGGTAAAAAGCGTTATGTACTTTGAGGCAGCGCCACCAGCGTTGCTATGCACTCAGCACAGCAACGCTGGTGGCGCTGCCTACGAACTGGGTATTTACTCAGGGGAGGTATAGAAGAGGCTACGATGACAGCTGTGGGCTTCTTATTCGCTGAGGGAACGCCATTAACGTAACAAAACGGTTTGTAGCCATCGGCCTCGATGGTCTAATGGTTAGCGTGCCGGGCTAATATGCTGAAGGTCCCAGGTTCGAATCCCGCTGGTAGAATTAACTTTTTGTCCAAGATTTTTTTTATTATCAGCAAGTTTGGTTGGTTTGGTTCGGTTATGACAGTTTAATTTTATTATTAAGTCATTATAAAATTTTAATTGAGCAATTTCTAGTTTTATTTAATAAACAGAATTACTTTTTCTATTACTAAACTTTTGTTATATTATTTCATTATCAGCAAGTTTGGTTAGTTCGGTTAGGTTATGATAGTTTAATTTTATAATTAAAAAATAATAAAATTGAATTTGAGGCATTTATAAATTTATCTTATGAACAGAACAAACTATTTTTGTGATTAGTAAACCTTCATTGCCAAAGTGCTCTCTACTACAGCGCTGTTCACGGAGGAACTTTGAACTAAATGCCTCATTCGTACCTCCCCTAAGTCAGACCCTACAAACTGACAGGCAAAGCTCTCTCAAAGTACTTAACGCTTTTTATCATGCGGTTGGCATTCTAGGTTATAGTAGTATGTTTTCTGTGGTTTGAGTCAGTCTAGTCTGGCTAGTGGTTCTATGCCTCCGCCTCAGTCTGAGTGCCTGAGCTGAGACCAACAAGTAATAAACCTTTGACTATTAATACAATACTTCTGTATCCAATAGCCAATGTAATAAACATAGCCTTTTTCACTTCTTGTTCGATTTACCTTTATTCTTCAGTTGTAAGTGTTATTGTGTAATGGCGTTACTTTGAAATAAAGCAAGAAAATATAATAGATTAATAGTTAATAAACTTTATTATAAGCTGTGTTTATAGAAAAATGTATCAAGGTAAAAAAAAACATACACATGATTTAATTAATTATAAACTATGTGATTGTTAACAGATAGAAAGCAAGTTAGTTTCTTTTCAATATACCCTTAAAACTAACACACTCCAACAGGGTTTTTCAATCTGGACACTTGTAGGCCTTTTATCAGGAAATCGACTAGTTGGTCATTCCTAGACACGATGACCAAATTCTAATTGCGTACCTAAAATGTTCTTACAAGGTATTGCTCTTGTACATACTGGTATCTCACATGAATATGTTTTGTTATCTTTTCTGCATTTATAGTGGGAAAGTCCAAATTTCACAAAGTCCAACAAATTTCAAAATGCCCAAACTCAATACTACAAAAAAGTTCAGGCCAGAGCCATTTTAATGCGCTTGAATTGTGACATTTATTAATTCGGCTTATATTTCTCTTAACCAACGGATTATTGATCTGCAGAAAAAGTTTATTGTGCTCTTATTGTGTCTAAAAACATCTAAACACAGAAACCTTACCTAAAATAGTAAATATATCTTGACAGATGTTTTACAGTGGCCTATTACGGACCGTGGCCCACTTGGTTGGCCTTAAGTGAGATTTGTGAAAATAACACTCCACTTCGACTATAAAACAAATTTCATGAAGAGCAATTACCATTTAAGCAGTCCACTTCGACTATAAAACAAATTTCATGAAGAGCAATTACCATTTAAGCAGTTACTGTCATGACAGAAAGTTTGTGTTCCTTTTGAACTAGATATCCTTATTCTTTCTATGATATGTTGATTAACAACAATGCATGTAAACGTCACTATTTACGTAACAATTTACAGTATTTGCTTTTTGGAAATGCAGCATTGCTTTGTCATTTGCATTATTTGTTGCCAATGAAGCAACATTATATTCATCAAAAAGAAGATAAACCAGTTAACATAGGAACAATAACTCATGACGGACAGTGTAAGACAAATTTATATTAATTGAATGATCAACCATATTTT